CTATCTATCTATCTATCTATCTATCTATCTATCTATCTATCTATCTATCTAACATAATAATATATTAATTGAAAATACTTAAAAAACTGTTGCATGGTACAAAATCTGTTATCATATTTGACACTGTGTCCATGGTTTCCCCTTTTAGCGATAGATTTAGATGCAAAGAGAGTATTCTGGGTTCCTAACTGCTCCTTGTTTAGATAATCCACTGATAGTCATGTAATGAATACCTTCATTAATTAGCACTGCTATTAAATCAATTAGCACTACACCCAATTAGCATTAATTAGTGCATTCAATTTGATCATGCTTTTAATATCCAGAGAAATGCGAGCATGAAGCAGTGATATTGAATCAGCACACATCTGTACAGTGTGGAAAATAAATGACACTGTTGTGTTTTAGAGAGAGGTACCTCATATAGATCTATCATGACATTTCCCTCTGGTCCCATACTGCTCATGACATTCTCCAAAGCCAGCGTGTAGTAAATGCCTCCGGCCTCTGACACGTACAGGTTGCAAGTGTCATTCTGGTTCCACTCTTGAACTGCCGCCACGACCCGGTTCTCATCTGTACTGATCACATGCAGATCCTGGGAAAAAAAAAAAAAGACATTTCATAAGACAGATCTCTGTGATTTATTTGACAAAAGAATATTCTGCCTCCGGCATTATCCAAATGTTGGTATAAACATGTCAATAAAGAAGTGTATAAAACTGACAAGGAATGCTTTATAATAGTGGGTTATAATTGATGCGCTAGGTTGACTGGTGCGGCCCAGTATAGCTGTATGACTTCAGTTTTGTATTAGACATTATTTGATAATAATGCAAAAAAAGACATAAGAAATGCTTCTGAGCTCCAAATCAGCATATTAGAATGAATTCTGAAGGATCATGTGACACTGAAGATGTAATGATGCTGAAAATGCAGGTTTACACACACACACACACACACACACACACATACAGTTGTCTGTCTATATATATATATATATATATGATATTGTCACTGCTGTTGTCAAGAATTTCCCTTTATCTAGCTGTCTATATCTGTATTTATTATTCATACAATGTGCATTTTGTCAATAAAACTGCCACTGAAGTCACTAAACTTCAATTGCCTTTTATTCTCTTGATGAGCCGACTGCATTTTCCAGTGCGGTTCATAACTGAGCCATTCAAATGATTTAACAACTCTATTCAGTCTTTTCCATCAAAAATAAAAAAGTAGGCCGAACTCCAAACAACTTAAGTGCCTTTTTATATTCAAGCATCAAAACACCTTTACCCTTCTCATTTGCATATATCAGAGGAGGATGACTTTAACCTTTAATGTGATTTTTGCCTCTAATCAAGCGAGATTGAATATGAATGTTGTTACCGGGACGGATGTGGACAGCTGGAGAGCAGTGGCGGTTTCACCCCACTGAGCTGAATCCGATTAATAATCAGTATCAGACCCTTCTCTCACCTGCCTTGTTTTGCTCACAGCTCTGGCGTACGACAAATATTCTTATTAGGCTTAAATTGAGCTTGTCAGTTGGGCAAATGCAACAAAACCACATGCTGGCAGTTTGCGAATTTCATCTACCCCAGACCGCGCAAGGGTTGCTGGGTGTGTGCTTAAAGGAGCGCCGAGAGCTTGATTAAATAAAACATGTTTAATTGTCATGTGAGCGCAGCAGATTTTAAGCTTTGAATAATAATACAGCATCCTGAGAGGCGAGGGACCGCAGTAGCATCTGCGTCCCCGAATTCACTCACTCAGAAGCAAGAGCCTGCCAGATTTTGTAAAGGATTTTGTAAAGGTTTGAAGCTTTAAAGGCTAACATTGAGGGATATGATGATCTGGGTCTGAAATAGCAATGTCTGTTTACTCTGTCACAGCGTAGCAGATTCTGACTTTGTGTCGAGCAAGTGTGAATGAGCTACCCTACCTTTGGAAGGGTGTATTTGGGAAGCTTCATGGGTGTAAACACATCTCGCCTGGATGACACGTAGTAGATTGGCCGACCGCCGGTTGACACCTTGGGTAATGGAGGGATCACAAATAGACAGGACAAAGACACTTTAGAAAAAGTTAACATTTTGAGTTCTACCGAGATATTGGTCACATATTAGGGTTCGCATTATGCATCGCGATATGATTGGTGCGTTATCATCACGTTATCATAATTGAATCGCAGTTGAAACTGTGCCAAATGCATGACACAGACTGGATTTGGAGGATTAGTTTCTATCTGTGCTTTAATTATGGCACCTCATAGACCCTGTTTACACCTGGGATTAAGATTAAGTGCTTAATATGGGAGTAAAGAGGGTCTGCAATATTCAAAAGTGTCTAAAAAAGTAACGCATCAGCATTGCATCCATCCAGATGTGTCCCAGACAGCACACCTGGACTACACTACAAAAGACTTTGAACTTAAAGGTCCTTGCACACTGAGTCCGAATTTTTTGTATTCATCATCCTTTCCCATCAAAATGCTTGCTACAGATATGAAAACTCAGAAACTCGAACCTGGTCCAATTTTTTTTATAACAGACGAAAGCTTCGGAGGCAGTGTGTCAACGTGATTGACACACCGTGAGGTCGTATTTATTTTTTAAAGTGCTAAAATTTCAGACTGGAAATTTAAGTCTGGAATACACTACATAACTGTTAAAATCAGAACAGATTTTAAAACACTAGGCATCATACACTTGCTGATTTCGTAAAAAGTTACAGAGGGGAAAATGGCTAGCATAAACTAAATGACTGAGGATCACACACTAACAAATTTTCATGTTGTTCTGAAGACAACAAACTCATGAAGAAAGCATGTGTCTTGTTGGTAGAAGGCATGTGACAGATGAAAACAAATATGTGTTCTAAAATCAGTTGGAATAATAGCCTGAAGCTTAAAAAAAATGGAATTGATTTTCTGAAAATCTTGAAATCTGTCAACTCAAATCTGTAGACTGGCTCTGACTTTGGCAACAAGCAACTTCTACAGACTGTAAATCAATGCAAAAATCTGGGCCAAAAAAAAGTTGTGTAATGAATTCCAGCCATTTTTTTAAATAAACTTGTTGGTTGTGTGTTTTTTAAAAGAGAACAGCCTTCCCATGAAATCATTTTGAAAAGTGCACACATAACTGAATAATTTAATAAAGGTACTTAACTAAAATAATATAAAAAAGATACCATGTTTGCGCTTAAATTAAAACTCAAGGGTAAACTAGGTATAATAAATTCAAGTATAAATGAGCTGTGGAAAATGCTTGAATATTGATACAGTGGGGCAAAAAAGTATTTAGTCAGCCACCAATTGTGCAACATCATAAGAAAAAACAATTATTATAGCCATACTAGTCAAAGGTTTCCCCTCTATAAATAACTCACCTGAACAAACACATACTCATCTTGGACCACCAGGGAGTTGGGGTCAATGTATCCAGGAAAAGGTTTGCCCTTGTTGGCTTCTGTGCAGTTCTGAAGCTTGCATGTGACATAAAGAGCCTCTGCAACAACAACAAGACAAAGGGCATATTGGATTTCCAGATAGACAGTTAGATTGAAGATAGATAATAGTAATATTGATATTGATAACTTAATTACTTTAAGGGTTTCTCCTATAGTATTTACATGTTACAGCTGCCCAAAGATTTTTAAAAGTTGCAAATAAAACAAAACTGCTACTTTAGTCTTTCAGCTTCAACATTTCAGATTTAATTCAATGTGTTACTTGCGATTAATTTGTCATTTTTGGTGAAATTTGCTAGCAATTTCTGAGTTAAAACTTTTTTATTCACTACCTAACCACAATTGCCATCTAATGTTTCTCAATATAGGTTGATTTATGGTACTGTTACTATCAACACACATAAATTTAACTTTTACCATGAGAGGAAAATCTCTAGTAGCGTGTAAGTTTAAAAAAAAAGTTACAATTGTACCCAGCATCCCGAATTGTCCTTGTATATTAACTTCAAACAGTCTAAAAAAAACCTTTTTGAGGGACCACGTACAGTAGAACTGACACGTGTAGCTTCTGTCAATCATAAGAAATATAGGTTCAACAAAGAATAGACAAACTAAATTTGTGCAGCGTGTTTCTTCATGTTAATTACTGATGACAAATACGGAAAAAAACGGATTTGCTGGTGCAGAACTGTCCGTTTTGAATTTTAATGTGAAGCCTGTTTTGAACCCTCTAAGTGTTGCCTTGTGCCATGTTTGAATTATTGCTTCTTGAAATGTAATCAAAGCACGTCCAGGGATGCCATTCAGACTTACGGGTTTCTGAGATGCTGGTCTCAAGGTGAATCAGGCCCGGCTCTTTATCAAGGCCCAGTTTAGACCTGGAGAGCCCAAAGGAAATAAAAAACAGTGTTTTATAAAATGAGCTTTGGAAAATGAAAATCCTTTGTGTTTCCCACAACAACAGATGGGTCAAAATAAGAGATCTAAAAGATCTATGTTAGCCTCACAAAGGAGCAATGCAGGTTAAGTCGAGAAAGTACCATCAGAACACCCTATACTGTTAAGTCTCCATTTCCATCTCCATCTATCTGTGCTTTCTGACAGAAGCAAGGAGCATATCCTGACATCATTAAAAGTAAGCCCTTCTCATTTGCTTCCCAAGAACACCCACAGGCAGCGCACACAGCTCTCTCGCTCTTTTTAGTGTGGAAAAAAAATCATTGTTGCATGAAATATTTATTCGAGACTGAAAAATCAGAGAGAGCTTCTCCAGAGAGGAACACACAAAGGTAGAAGCAGACTATCTAAAGACTTTATCATGACACTTATTGGAAGTATTGACGCTTTCCCAAATATAGCATCCCTTGGTGTGCTCTGGGATCAGCCTTAATATTTTAAAGGCAGAGCGGTGAATTCAATGAACAGTTACACCTCTTTCGCACACTTTATTTTGAGTTTGACCTGCAATCCACATAGTGAAGAGGTTTATTTAGCAAAAATTATAACTAATGTGAGCTGACTGTATAAAAACCCACTTATTACACAGCTACTCAAATAAATTAATAAATGGACGGACATGATATTGATTTTATAATCATAGATGTATAGCTTCCGCTAAGAAAAATGGACCATTACAATGTACAAACAATCACCCGAGATATTACAGTAATATTAATACTGAACTCTTCTGAAGTAATTTGCATTACAATAAATAACTAAGACACATACTGGCACCACTTGTGTTTGTATGAAACGAGAGAATGCGTCAGTGGTGTTATACAAGAGGTATGATAACAATCTATGGCACAATTGACCAATCAGAAACAAGTATTTCAAAAAGCTGCTTAATAAAGTTCTACAGTGCCGGCCCACTTCATCAGTGGCCTTGGTTGAAGAAATATTTTTTTTTATTCATTTTTCCCATACAGATTTTTTAAAAGTCATGAACCAAACCAACCAGCTATGAGGAGAATCATAACATTAAAAACGCTGATTTGAAGCAAAAACTTATTTGAAAACTTGACAAAAAGACAAGGGTACAAGACTGTGTACTTGATGGCTTTAATGAAGGCCATGACACATTGTAAATGACATAATCGAATAAAACATAATGGAGAAATATAAAACTATTGATTTAAATATGTTGATTATATTTAGTAGCTCAGGTCTGTCTGTAAAGGTTTGTAAGTTATCATTCACAGTCAATTCATGTATGGAGCAAATAAATGCGATTTTAACTTTTGGGAACCCAACTGTTGAACTCTAATCGTGCGTTGTGCGTTTAAATTGATCGTCATTCTTTTTCAGTACAAACACTCTCCCTTTATATTCAATTTAGGCTTATTATATCGCTTATTTACTAAAGAAAACATTATTTTCCTGATATAGTTAACCCATAGCAAACGAGAAGTGCATTATGATAACCAGTCAATGCTGGCATATAATGTATATCAGCGCTAATTTAGTTTTACTCGATTCACGCCCAAGATTATTACTTACTCCCTTACTCACAAGAACAGTTCAATTTCAAAGAAAATTGACTAGGTTTCGATTTCAGATCAGTTGTAAAGGTAAAGGAGTTCTGACCCATTCAGTTCCACCAAGACTTTAAATCTGTGCAGGTATTAGGCCAGAAACGAGCCGCATAAGATCTGAGTTGCTTTTGAAGCGCTGACAGATACAAAAGTCCATTTCATCCATTCAAAGCTCCATTTCTTCAATCATCTCATATACTGGCTGCGACTATGGCGGTGTATCTCATCAAAAGGGACAATCTAATTTCACATAGTCAATAGCTACACATTTTTAAGGGTTATATGTCTCATCTCACTTCAGATAATAAGACTCCATATGTGAGAGTTCATAGATGGGAACTTGTGAGGATAGATCATTACCAGCCTAAAAATAACGGTACTCGAGGCTGACTCTCTGATGTCTTCGCTCTGTCGTACTTTGACAGTGCTTATGCAAAAATCTCACACTAAAATGTCCTCAAAAAACAAAATGCTGGTACTAAATGACTAGAATTTGGATGGAAAAAGACAGACATGATCAATGAAAAAAAACTGACCAACCAGTTGAGAGTTTAAATTGTATTGTGATTACCAAAACTGTAATGTAAGGTGACATTGTTTCTTAACACAAATGTAGCATTCATTTACCTTTTTAATAGAATTCACCCATTTGACCATTCAATATATAACTCAATAGACTTCATATATATGAAATGGTCCTAGTTAGCAACAGCAGGGGAAAAGGCTACTACATTTAATACAGTACACGTGTAATATGAAAATATAGTTATGTTGTTAAGTAAAAAAAAATGTCACTATGGTGACAATTCAATAGATGAAAATCAGTTTTAAACAACCATCCTGCAGTTTCAGTTAATTCATCAATGCCAATGCCAGATGTCTTAACACATACAGTATTTAACATGACTTTGTTTTGGAATATGATTTCCTTTGTGCATTAACATTTTTATTTTATTTTTTTTTACTTCTGTCATAACATTTTGTCTCACATACCAAAGATCCAGTGCAATATATGTTTACAATACTTTATAAAAAAAATTATAAAAAAAAAAACTCAATTGATCCATGCCCAAAATACCTTTCAGTTCATTCCAGCTTGTCCACTTGAGACCAGGGATAAACATAAAATCGAATCGAATTTAGAATTTATTTCTCAACAGGTCTCTTTAATCACCACAGTCTAGACATCTATTAGCCATCCTGATCAAGTTGAATAAGCTTTCTTAATGACTAAATCATTTGCAACATTGCAAATGCAGACTCCGACTCCGTAACAAGGTCTAATGACAACATTCATTAAAGAGTTTCTAAGCTTTGGACGTAAACTTCGAGGTAGCGTTTGTGGTGGAACACAGTGGGGAAGATCACATCAGGATTGAACAACAGTCCATGTTCTTTGGTTTATTCTTTTATCAGGCACAGAATGCAGGAGCTCAAATGATTGATGTTCCACATGCAGCAGAAGAAATCACACAGAGAGCTTACCAGTAGAATCGATTGGGCGCCACCCGCTCGTGGACGAGCTGCCATCGACGGCCGAACTCAACAGAGCTGTAGAGCTGAAGACGAAAAATTGTGTTAGCAAAGGGATTCTATGAAGATTCCTGTCTCTTCTGATGGTGTAATATGCTGCTATAATGTAATTGCGCATCTGCCTATTGGCATTGTTTAGGTACGTTTAGTTTACTCGATTCTTATCAATAGCTCTGTTCAATGAACTAGTGAACTGCCTCACTGCCTAGGCAGCTGTCTTTCTTCAAAGGCCACATTATGAAATTATGAACCACTATGAAACCTAATTTCTAAATGTTCTACAGCAACTCTATGCACCACACAAATAGCATTTTTTGACATTTTGATTTTAGCCTATCACAGATATGCCAAACATGGGATGTATTAATTTTTTTATGAGTACTAACATTTGCGCATGTTCGCATGTCTTCCAGCTCTTCCACATTCAAAATCAGTTATGAAGAAAACAATACAATCCTATATATTCTCTCTATATATGTCACCTCAAGTTTAGGACCTGACCATGTTTTAACACAGATAATGTGTCATACAAATAACTGAAATTATCAAGCAATTCATATATTGCTCTCTTTATTTATAAATCTATCCTTCCAAGACTGGAATCAAAAATCCATAAAAATCCTATGGTGTAAAATGTTTATGTTCTCCCTATCTGCGAACTATATTTGAATAATCAAATGTAAAAAAAAAACACTGCACAATCTTCACACACTTGTATTATTAAACATTAATTTGTATTAAAGACATAAAAGTTATTAATTCAAGTGCAGTGAGAGATTTTCTGTTTTTCTTTTCTTCTTTGGTTAAAATCAATTCCACAGACAGCAGCAGAATTAGTAGGCTGCTGTCACTCTAAGACCTAATGCACAGATCTAATATACTGATGCATATCTGATTTTCTCCCAACTATTTACATTCATTTAAGACATAACCACCTGTGTTTAAGTGAATACTTGCTAAAAAATTTCATTTTTTATGTGATTTGACCATTTTATTGCAATTAATTGTGATAATATTTTCTAATATATATTCCTAATATATTTCCTATAACTCTTACAAACTCCAAACTATTGAATAGATTTTATTTTAGTTGGGTACATGTGATGCTGCCCTAAAATTTATAAAAAAACAAGGTATCTTAGAAGCCGTCACACATTGGGAACAGAATTCACATCAGAAGCGTGCCTAAGAAGACTTAAAATGCTACCTACGTAGAGAGCTAACTAGGTTTTGGAACTGAGCCAATTAAATTATGAATGACTTTCCAATAAAACACAGAATAGAATAAAATCTTAAAATGATCATTTCAAAATTAGTATAATTACAGTGGAAAATTGGCAATCAGCGAGAGAACAAACACTGAAATCTTAAATTCACTAAATGGGTCATAAAAATGACTCATGTATATGTTTCTCAGTATGGTAGTAAGCATCCTATTTATGTGCACAGTTCTTTGGGATAAATAATTTTATATAAATGACAAACATAAACATGTCACACTGGTACTTACAGCACTTTGGAATGAAATGTGGCATTTGTTAAAGTGTTGAGCAAAAGTTTTCCCTAGGTGTGAAACTTCACTTGCCTTGCACAAAGCAGCATATTTTTGCCAGGATTCTAAAACAGTGTGGGGGGGGGGATGCAAATATATTTGCATCAGTTGGGAACTGTGATATCACAATCTCATATCCAATATAACATCCTGACTGTGGGTGGATGGAGCTCAGTCATATTTAGACACAGACTTATGGGAAACCAACAGAACAAATCAAACTGGATCAAACTAAACCACATCAGACAGAAGTGAAGAGTAGAGCTCTGCTGAAAACAACTTCTTAAGGAGACCTAAACTGGTCTTAGCTGCTTCAAGCTGGTCTCCCACACTGGCCAAATTGCCACTCAGTTGGTTTAACACCAGCATTGTCTTGTTTTAAGGTGTGTGTTGTTGTTGTTTTTCAGCTGAGAGGCACAAAAGTGTTGAAGGTTACTGAGCTTTTCATTTTAGCTCATTCCCTCTGTCATTATGTCATCATAAAAAACCTCAACAAATTTAGGAACCTTGCCAATGACAACACGGCAGCAAAACTGTCAACACTAATAAATTATGCATTTATTTGTGGCAGAGATTTGGATAGGGTTTAATTACATTAGTGATTGTTTTCTTTTTATGCTGTTTGCTTTTGCGGCTTTCAGCCGTGGCTAGTCATGCATATTTAGCAAAAAGTCAACTATTAGCCGTCAGTTGGCTGATAATTATTTTTGATTATGTTCATTTAATTGTAATTCATTGTCAGTGGCCCTCCTTCAAGGATGAAATCAATGTTGATTTGTCAAAATTGAAGTCAATGCTGTTTAACACCATCCCTTGAGACTAGAAACTGTCATTATTTGACATACTGCATGTCACTGTGAAAAGTTTTGTTGTTTGAATTTGTACTTGTTTTTTAGATGCTTGAAAAGAAAATCTTATTTTTTGAATATACATTTGGGGAAGAAAAATGTGTTATATAATTAAAATCCACATCAAAGAGTAGAAAAACAATCAAATCAATTCAGGAATGGCTCTAATCCAAAATTAAAAGAGGGAAGGAATTAAAATGATTCATCAGCTTCATCAGGAAAATAAATAAATAAATATAAAAACAAATCTTGACTAGTTAAATTATCTTTTGATATGATTATATCTGATGCTTAAACAATCTTTTCAGAAGAATAAAAAACATATCATAATTTATTAGCCCTAAACCATGAGCTCGAAACCATATAATTAATGATAATTCCTTGCGACTGGGGATCCATAAATTGTCTTAATTGCCAAATTTAAGCTCACTGAAATTGTCTCTTTAAGACGTATTTCCTTTTGCATTGATAATTGCCTTCTAAGGACATATTTCAAGCCTAAATACAAATTAGCATCCATTTGCACGCATACTTTCATTATTGTTACGTCTTGCTTTGCAGCGTGTGCCTAGAATGTTCTTTATCAAGAATGCAAATACTATGAATTTGTTTTTCCTTTGGCTTTGGTTATATTTGGCAATATAACAGCTTGATAATTAGAGAACCGCATGAACGGTGCCTTGCTGAAAGCTTTGTGCCATAATTAGATGCTCTTTGCTATATTTTCAGGAATGATTTAGCTGAAATGATTCTGCACCTTCTGGTCATGACCATAGGCAAGGATCCAGTCCTCCTGCTCAGGGTGAAACAGCAGGCTGAGGATGTAGAAGTTGAGGCGATATTTTTGATAGGTGGCGCCTTCATCTGAGCTGATGAGCAAACTGCTCTCCACCTCTGGATCTGTCAGCAGCATGATCTGAAACACAGAACACAGGTTCTTAGTCTCTGCAGAGTGTCTTCGCTATCCCTCAGGGACCAAATGCTTCGGCTAGAGGACCTCAGGAGCTTCATCTGTGATCTTCTGTCCACAAATAGACATTGTAAAATGTTGAGAGGCTGCAATAACAAGACTGGTGAATATAAAATATATACAGTGCAACAGTACAACAGAAACATAAAATGTATTAATTTAATATATGATTATGCTATGTATTAAATAAATGTATTTTTTATATTTAAATAATTTATAAAAAAAATGCCTGCTCTCTCTCTCTCTCTCTCTGTGTGTGTGTGTGTGTGTGTGTGCAACGTGATCGCATGATAATTCGTATGTATTTTACGTAAAATGTAGGTCTATAAAACGTACATTTCCGTACGTTTTTACAGGCACTAAAACGTACAATACTGACGTATTTTCAGCCTCTAAACGTACAAATACTTACGTATTTTCAGCATTTAAACATACAAAACTGACGTATTGACACCTAAAAATGAATCCTTATGAATATTGAAATCGCGGCATTAATTTTATTAGTTTTTAGTTGTCATATGAATTACCTTGTTTTCAATTGCATTGTTAAATTGTTTACTCGTTTACTTATGAAATGCTAACATTTGGTTTTGTTGTGATTTCTGCTGCCAGCTCGTTTCCAAGAACATGCCTACATAATGTTAAACACGACTTCACTTTAAACCTTAAAATAAATAACATTTCTGCAATCGTTTAACCTTTACTTGTCATGTAATGTTTACTTTGCCATGGCCACAAAAGGCGTTTTCTCCGACATGCTGTGACTGACAATAGAACTATAAAATACACCAAAAACGCAACATAATTACGAAATGAAACAATTTTATTAGTGCGCTGTAATCCAAATCTTCCGAATCCATAGGACTGCGAAGAACAGACCCAAATCCAAGCCTTTTTTCGCCGATCTGCTTCTCCATCCCGAGTAGCGAGTCCAGTGACCGTGAGCAGCAAAGCCCGCGCTGACTGATGCGCTCTTTACAAATTCAAATGTTGCCGCTTCAAACGACAGGTTTTACAGTAGGATAATCAAACGCTCATTGGCTCTCGCCTGCATTCGTCACAAATTGCGACATGCCGTGTTTCTGTGTTTGAATGATGCGCGCGCGCCTTTACGAGTTCACGGAATGGATCGGGAAAATTATCTGGATAATATTTTCAGTGATTTACAACATAAATTCTGCTCTGGATCACACAAACCTACTGTATTCCGCCAGAGAGGACTGCGGGTGCAACACATCGTCATTTGGATTACTTTTGGTAATGTTTTTTACATTTTTGCAATAAATAAATGATTGTAACGTTAATTGCATTTATCTGTCTGTCATGTTTTTTATACTGTAAAGAAATTTTTAGGTTTCTAGATAGGAGTGGAATTAGCGACTATAAATATGTTAATGCTATATTGTTACTAAAAGTTTTATTTTCCTGTGGATTTCGGTCATTTGCGTTTTATATCCTTTATATATATCGCTATAAAATGGGTAGGTTTAGGTTTGGGGGCAGGTTAAGGGGTCTAAAAATCTAAATCGCTTATTGATAAAATGATAAAAATGCATTGATACGAATATCTTGATGGTATAAAAGATACGAACATATTTGTAAGTTTTTTAGCTAAAAAATACGTAGCGATTTGTACGTTTTAAACATTGAAATACGTCTACATTTTACATTTTAGCATTAATAAAAACTTTAAAAAGTGTATGTTTTGTGCTTGTAAATGTTACGTATTAATACCTACATATAAACATGAGACCAGGCTGGTGTGTGTGTGTGTGTGTGTGTGTGTGTCTTTTATTCAGCAAGGATGCATTAAACAGATCAAAAGTGACACTAAAGACATTTATGGCAATAAGAAATGCTTTTTGAGCATCAAATCAGCATATTAGAAGGATTTCTAAAGGATCTTGTGACACTGAAGACTGGGAACAATCAATGGTTACAGAAAACAGTTTTGCAATCACAGGAATTAAAAAAAATAATAATATAGATAAGTAGACAGATTAATTAAATTAAAAACATTAATTAAAAATAAATGTTATTAGATTACTACGATAGATTAATATATTAAGCACATATTTTAAATAGTAATTATTATTATATTTATAAAAGCAACCTCAAATGTATTATTTTATATACAACAAATATGTTACATAAACACACACACACACACACACACACACACACACACATGAACTGTGGTTATATATACAGAGGTTATATACATATACAGAGTTTAACTTGTATTGAACCTGGAATGTTTCCTTAAAAACAAATACAAGTCAATCACAATTAAAACAAACCAATAAATAAAAACATCAACACTGCATCTTCACATACAAGACAGGAAGCTCAAAAATTTGATGAACTCACAAACCGTGTTCCTAATTTGCAAGTCTTAATGAACACTTTTAATGTTGTGGCATCACGGCTCGTGTTAAATGTGATATCTTCATTTCCAATCCCTGATTTGCTTGGTGTGGTCTCATCATAATCGCAGTGGATCACAAACATAAATCTGTTTAACGCTGTCAATCTTGTAACACACTCCAGTGAGTAATTCATTATGGCATGAGCGTGCACACTTTAACTCACCCTAGAGCACAGCCAGACCGTTAAATCTATAATTTCCCTAGAGTTTTTTTGTTTTTGTTTTGTTCCCCTTTTCTGTTTTAGTGTGCCACTAGTTTTAAGTTTGTGCCAATTTTGAAAATAAATTAATAAATATAATCAGCCTCAAATATAATTGAATCAGCGAGGCTGAAACGTTTGGAAACCTTATCATTGACAGAGAGCTGGAGGTGTCGGCTCTAAGGATTGTGTCTGAGCTCCACGTTTTACACCATCACTGAACGCTTGAACTGCTTTGGGCTCGTTTTTTCTGTTCCGTTGGGTTTGTAAAGCTTTAAACAGACTGGATCTTATCTCTTCTCATAGCAACTTTATGGACACAAGTTTCGATTATATTATCAGATCAATAGCCCTCTTGCTGATGTAATATGGGTCAATGCAACTTCTTCAAGGGCCTGTCCTCTTTCTTTCCAGGCACATAAAACTGTTAGTGTCCACTTCGAAATCGGTTTCCATTTAAATTGCGCTTTTGACACAGCTCTCCAGGGCAATAGTATTATTAAGTAGTGCAGGGCAGGAGAGCTCGCAAGCCCATTCGTCAAACAGGACATGCAAATGCTAACCATAGTGGCTGGAACCCAGAAGACCAGCTCATCAATCATTACTGCCAACTCAACCAACATGACCCATATGCCAACCAATCAGCGGTGCTATTTGGGCCGGTCTATTGATGGAAACCTTATTTTCTTTTAACATCTGATTGCAGCTACTTTTAAAATATGCTGCATTGTTAAAAAATTATGATTTTTGTAAATTATTTTTGGTAAATTTAACAGATTATTGGAGTACATGAAAATACTATTTTAGTCTTTCTACTTCAAAAATTCAGGTTTAATTCAATGTGTTATTGCCATATCTAGTAATCATTTATTTATACTACTAAAATTGCTTAAAAGTATCTCATACACCATTTTTTCCCCAATGTAGTGAGATGTTGGACATGAATTGGATATTAATTGGATTGGCAGCAAGCTTTCATTGTTTCATTGTTCTGAAAGTGTGACGGATTGATAATGTATTCATACAAAACTACCTTAAATAAACACTACAATTGTGAAAACTCTGGAGCACCAAAAATGCCAATCCAACCAATCAAATCAATCAATCACTCAATCAACCAATCAATCAATCAAATTAATCAATCAATCAATCAATCAATCAATCAATCAATCAATCAATGTGCCTTTAGGACTATCATGCTAAAGGTTTCGTTTTTTCTCACATAAAGCTATTGTATGGATTACACTTCAAATATATAACACAATAAGGTAATTTTGGACAAAATACGCCTATCACAGCTGCTCTGATTGTAAGTGGACAACACTACACTGATAAAAAAAGTATGCATTTATGTATGTATGTATAAATAAATAGACAGACAAATAAATAAGTAAATAAATAAATAAATTATTTTGCTGCTATAATTTAATTTATTGGGTTGAGTTGGATTAAATAATATTTCTGAGCCAGTTAATTCAAAATAAATAAATAAACAAACACATTTGCTGCTGTAACTTAATTTCCCTTTCAGTCGGTCATTCTCGACGTCACGTCGGAGGACCGACGAATTGGGATCTCACTTAGAGGGACCAATCTACTCAGAGTGTAAACTAAACGAGCCAATGCACATTGGCATGCGATTATTGAATCCAGCTGCTGCTGATCACAGCTTGAGTATAAGTAGGCAGCAGATGCAGCGCATATTCAGCTTTTCGCTTCGGAGCCGAGCGATCACATCGTTCTGCTCCTGACTACTCTACTGAGAGAAGAAGACTGAACGAGTTCAGCGCGCTCTTGGAGAGCTCTTCGTGTTGGTGGCCGGCGCTTCAGCGGTGGTGGTTTCCCATGTCGAGTGGGTTGCACACATCAGGCTGCACTACCCCGTTTGTGTTGCAGATGATCATCTCCCCTGTGCACCTCAGCACGCTAAAAGAGCTTTTTCCCCTAAAAGAGCAATTTCGGGTGCGTCTTTTTAAAGACGACGTTGCTTGGCAAACTTGACGTTACGTCTTTATAAAGATGATGTGGGTCTTGCTATAGACAATGTATCACCCGGGCGTTCTGGATGCGGTCGTTACCTGGCGCTGGGTGATGGTCACGATCGCTGTCTCTCGTGCCTGGGCTCAACAGGTTCGTGAGCTCAACAGGTCATGGAAGGCACCTTTTTACTGCCGGAAACTGATTTGCTGGATCCTCCTCCCTCACCACCCTCTATGGTGGGGCAGCTAGGGGGTTACAAGGGTCCCCCCGGTGGAGCCGTCGGGTGCGATGCAGTTGTGTCCTAATACCGCCTCCAACCGGCAGGGAGAACCGTGCCT